CGTCACAAGCAGTGATGCTAGTAGTGCCTCCGTGGGCAGGTAACTTAAGGCATTAGGAAATGGAAGTCCAGAGAGGAGGTGACACTTCCAAGGTCAGGCCATGTCCTCTGGGCCAGAGTTTGTGCCCATAGTGAACAGGGCTTCCAGGACCTCAAGTGGGTCCCACCTGCTGGGTGAGCAGACAAGTGGCTCCTGCCTCTAGAGATCTGACATCCTTGCTGCTGAACAGGAAAGAACCTGCTTTACTCAGACCCTGGGCCAGGGAGGTCTAAGGGGGTCAGGCAGGCCCTGGGTCTGTGGCTCACAAAGCAACCCCCCTTCCTGTCCCCCTTGGGGCCTTATATGACAGAACCAGTCAGGACCACAGAGAAGGAGCCTTTGCACCCAATTTACAGATGGGGAAAGTGAGACCCACAAGGAAGGGTCCTATAGCCAGGTTTCCTGGTAGCATTTTAATTTCAGAGGAACAACCGTGGGAGTTTCCTGGGGCACTGGTGAAGGAGGGAGTTAGTGTGAGTTTTGTCTGTTGAGTGGGATATGTGCAGGACAGACTGGGAGCCAGAGTCCCGAGGGAGGCTGCCCTGGGACTGGAAGAGCTGCAGCTGGTGGGCCCAGGGGTCTCCTCACATTCCCTAGCCCCAGTCTACCCTACCCCACCCCAGCTGCATAACCTCAGGTCCGAGGAGGAAAGAACTGGAGGTGGAGAAACAAGGCTGGGACCTGCCCTGTGGTGTGAGAGTGGGGAGTCCCTCTGGGTGAGGATTGGAAACGATTATTTTTCCGGTGTGGGGGCGGGGGAAGTAAGGGGGCGCAAAACAATGGTGGGGGGAAGCCGCCTCCACCATCCCATCAGGTCCACTGCTCCTCTGAGACCCCAGCAGGCAGAGGTGGATTTCGGGGTGCGCAGCGGGCTCTCTCCATGGACCTCTACCCTCCCCTAAGGACTGAGGTGGGGCCGCTCGGGATCGGGGTGGGGCCCGTCCCTGCCGCTCAGCATCCTCATACTGGCTCCTGGCAATGCCCAAATCGGACCACAAACCCTCCGGCACCGCTGTTACCCCATCTGCCTCAAGGCTTCATCCCCTGGGCTGAGCGGGGTAGGCGTCGGCCCCGTCCCTGCATCTCAGAGGAGGGCTCTCCCCAGCCGGAACCGCCCACCCACTTGAGGCGCAACCCACGGCTTCTGCCTCCGCTGCGTGTGCCCCGGGTCGCACGCAGTCCTCACCCGCTTCCTGGGCCGCCCCCTGCACTTGCTGCTTCAGGTCCTGCAAGCCCTTGCTGGCCATGGCTGCGGGCGTTCTGCGAGGTCGTCTAAGGTAGCAGCAGCGATGTTAAATCCTGTTCACCTTGCGGCGACCGGAGAGCGGGCTCTGGTTTTTAAGGCGCCCCAGGGCCGGCCCGCCCCGCGCGGGGCGGGGAAGGTGGGGGCGCGGGGCGTTTCCCGGCAGACAGGCTCCAGAGACGGACCCAGCCCTGCTCCAGGCTCCACCAACCGGAGAGCACATCCTGTCCTCCGGCCGGTGGCGATGAGAAGGCGGCCGTCCCCACCAGGGTCTGAACAGGGAAGAGGGGCTGCAGAGGGATTGGGTCGGGGTCCAGAGATGGGCTGGAATAGAAGGGGGGCGCACAAACCTTTCCCCTCCCCGTCCGCCAGACCCTTCGTCCCTGACTCTGAGGATCGGGTGCGCGCTGCTTCCGCGCCAGGTCAGAATCTCGAGGCTGGAATCGACATTAACAATAGCGGCTGCCTTTTACTGAGCATTTACCTAGTACCTTAGTGCTACCCTAAGTCTTTCGGGCCTCTTGTATAATCTTTTCAACAACTTCACGAAATTGGTGTTATTAGCAGTTTATAGGAAGAAACTGAGACACAGAGGGCACTTTTGGTCTCACCCAGACTTGAATGGCCGGGACTCCAATCTGCGACAGTGGACTGCCCCGACAACCACCAAGCTGGCTGTCCCCACACACCAGCCGGGACACTGCAGACTGGCCATCTGTCCTGCTGCCACTGGGACCAGGCAGGCACAGAGGGGAGAGACTCAGGGAGCAAGCAGTCCAAGGTGGAGGGGGAACATCGGAAAGAGCCGCTGTGTGTGCCCAGCCCAGGCAAGGAGATTGCTTCTTTAGGTCACCAAAGCCCTCGGAGTTGGGCAGGAGGCAAGGTTCAGAGAGGGCGGGGAATCTCCCCAGGCCACACAGCAAAGAAGGGAGTGGCCGAGCCTCAAACCACTGAGGTCACCTTTCCCAGGATGGGGTGCACGCCTGATGTGGTGATGACCCAGGGGCGCTGGGAGTGGGGTTAGAGGCCCACGCACCAGTGGTGGAGCCACGGATCCCGAAAACAGCAAAATAACCCAAAAGGCATGAGCCCCTGGCACTCAAGTGTGCTGGTAGGGCCTCCACCCCGCCCCACGTTCTCCCACTCCAGAGCCAACGTGTGGAGCTTGGAGGCCACCATCGTGCTGGGCTTGTGCATCTTGGTGTGGCTGCTGGACTCTCTCTCTAGTGCTTGCTCTCCGGGGTGGTGTGGGAGTCTTCCATATTCTGGAGCCCTGGGAAGACCCTGCATACCCAGGTCCCCTCGGCTGGCCCATGCCCTGCCCCTAATGTTTCAGGGAGGAGGTAGCTGGGGGGAGAGGCTGAGGGGTAAACCGTGGAGTGTCAGCCACCGTGTGGACTGTCTGGAAGCCTGCTCGCTCACACAATGAGAATGGATTAATGGAGGTGAGGTCAACCCAGGGCAAGTAGGACAGGCGCTGAGTTCAGATGGGGGGAGGGGACTCCAATGACAGAGGAACAAAGCGGCCACCACGCCCTCTCCTCCTGGCCTTAAGCCCGGCCAAGCCCAGAGCACAAAGGTGTGGCAGGAGCTGCCTTCTTGCTGCCTAGGGGACCCCGCGGAGCCCAGCCTTGCCCATGTCCTCCTGAATTCCCACCATTAGCACCAGGCCTTTTGGCCACGAAGATCTTTTCACCACAGCAGTTAGCTCATGGCTGGCTGTTAATGCTCTTTGGTGCAGGTCCCAGTGGACGAGAATAAGACAGGGAGGCAGCAGCCTCTGTAGGAGGCACAGCCGGGCCCAAGCCAGTGATGATAGGGGCAGCTGAGTGTCTCTAAAGTAGGAGGCACTGCAGTCGGACTCCGGAGGCCAAGTCCATCTCTCTGAGCCCTAGTGCCCCATCCTTGATGGGTGGATGGGGGAGACAGAATCTCCTCACAGGGCTCTTGTGAGGGTTCAGTGGGCTGAAGGCTGCCCCACATTCAGCAGGGGGCCCCTCAACAGGGGGGCATTTCAGGTAAGGAAAGGGATCCAGAGAGAGCGGTTGTTCCTCTAGGGAACCCAGACGCAACTGCAGGAGCCCAGAGCACATAAGAGAGGGTCTATATTTTTTTAATGTGGGCTTCAGGCTCATCATGGATTTCAACACAGGGCTTGAACTGACGACCCTGAGATCAAGACCTGAGCTGAGATCAAGAGCTAACCAGCTGAGCTACCCAGGCACCCTGATAGGGTTTGGAAGGCTGCGAGCAGTACAGGTGCCATCCAGTGGGAACAGGCTTCCTGGATAGGGTGAACCTAGATGTTTGGCATTTGACCCCAAGAACAGGCCCTGAGTATGTGTCTAGGGTGGGAGTCAAGCAGCAGGGACCCTTCCAGATTCCTTTGGCAGAGGCAGGGAGCCCTGGGAGGCTGGTGATGCACGGTGCATGGGGCCTGGGTCTAGGTGTCCTCCTCCCCCTGTCACCTTATGGGACTCCCTCCTCCTCTCTGTCTCTCAAAGTCCAAGCTCTCAGACACACCCAAGCCCCGGGTGGACTGCTCCCAGGCGTGCACAGGCCTGCTTGTGTGCATGCGTCTGGGTCCGGGAGCATTAACACCCCTGACTGCCCTGAACCTCCTCTAGAGCTTTCACTCCTTCCATGGCAGGATTTGGGGGTCTGCGGGACCAGCAGCCTCCTGCTCCTTTCTGCCTCCTCAGCAGTGGATGCCCATGGCCAGCAGATTGGGATACAACCCTGCTCAGCCCACAGGGCTGGCCTCGACCTCTGCTTCCCACCACTGAGGCAGGATGGGAAAGGGGTGATCTCAGTAGTGTCTGAACTTGGGGGTGGACTCAAGCTCTAGCTCTGACACCTGGGTTGGAGGCTTGGGGCCAAGTCACTTAGATGCTCTGAGCCCAAACTGTCTGGGTGCCAAAGGGGAAGGAACCTCTCCACCGCCTCTGAACAAGGCCCCAGGACATGATGCCAATAGCCCTTCATGTAGGACACCTGCCAGCCTGGTCCCCAGGTTATTTTGAAACAGGACCATGCAGTCTGGGGTCCTGCAGCAGAGCATGGTCATTAACTGGGTGGCTCTGGAGCCAGGCGACCTTGGCTTCTGCCCAGCCCCAGAGGTTCCTTGCTTTGTGCCCTTGGGCAAGTTATTTAACCTCTCCATTCTTCAGTTCCTTAGGGAAACTGGGATCATACCAAGAGTTTGTTCTGAGGATTAAATTAGGTAAAGTGCTCAGGCCTGGGAGGAGCTCATTTTTACTACTTTTAAAGGGTGGAGGCCCACTCTCCTGCTTTTCAGCTGTTGTCTTTTCTAATGATACCTGACAGGACTTCTGGTAAAGGATGGCAAAGCCCAGCTCCAAGCTGGTGGGAGCTTGAGGCCAGCTGGGGCCAGGTGGGAGGAGCCATGGGGTCATGTCTTTTTGCACTGAGGGGGACTCAAAGAGGACTTGCTATGGGCCTGGACGTCACATCTTTAAAGTTTACCCTCAGTTCCAGGGAGGGGTGTGAGGTTGTCTGGGGGAGCCAAAAGCACTCCATGTTAAAAGACAATGGTGTGGGCTCCCTGAAGGCGGTGCCTATACTCAGAAGGTTCCTGAAATGCCCAGGGTCTGCCCAAAGGGTACCTGGCCCCAGACCTGCTTCCCAGGCCCACCAGCAGGCTGGTCTGGCTTCTGTTCCCAGATGAGGCAGCACAGAGTGGAAGCATGGGCACGTATGGCCAGGGGTGAGGACTAGAGTTTTATTTGAAATCATTAAAAACAAAATTTCACAGCAGCATCTGTGGGTTCAGAAGGACCAGGGGGTAGAGGCTGTGAGGGAGGGAGTGAGGGAGGTGAAGGCATCAGAGGCAGCTTAGGAGGACAAGCCTGTGGGTGGCCAGATGTGGGCGTGGGAACATGGGCAACCCAGGTCACGCTCTGGGCTGGGCACTCCACGTGCCTGGAGGGGGTGGGGTGCAGGGCAGAGGGCTCTTCCTCGGGGTCTCCGTGGCCGACTGGCTTCCCTCTAGTCTCCTCCACTCTTGGCCTGGGAGAGAGAGTGCCCCTCACACACAACCCCAGCTCCACCCCCAGCAGCCACCCCCCCAGACACCCACCCCCCCATCCCCCCACCCCCGCCCAGTGTGATGGGGCTGGGAGTCATCTCTGGCCCTCCACCCTAAGGGAATCATTCATGAGGGAACCTCCCACTCAGGCTGAGGGGGCTGCAGAAGGTCAAGGGGCTGTCCTGAGGGATCTGGGACCCTGGGAGGGAAGCAGCCTTGCCCAGTGTCCTCCGGGAGCCCAGCACTTACCTCCTCAGCCACTTCCTCTTCCCCTGTGGCTGCCTTGTCCTCCTGCGGGGCGGCTGGTTGCTCCACGTCCTCCTGGGAGGGAGCAAAGGGGGACCCAGGGGATGTGGGACCGTGTGGAGTGTGCAGAGGTTCCAGCTGCTCTGTAGCCAGGGCTCATCCACCTGGCCTCAGAGATGAGCAGAAGCCCTCAACACCTTGCTGTGCGTGGAGGGCAGGAGGTGAAGGAAGTGTGAGGACCAGTCAGACCATGGGAGTGACAGAGCCTTGTGTAAAGACCCACAGTGGGGGCTCTGTCCGAGCATGCTGAGGCCTTCTGGGGGCACCAAGTCTCCTGGAGCCCAGCTTTACATGCCCACCCCCCACCTCCCGCCAAGCTACAGCAGAGTCTCTGGGCTGTCCTTGGTTGAGCCTCTGCATTGAGGAGGACTGGGTCGGGGGGTGGGGGGTGCAGTGGGTTGGGGGAGGGCTGTGGCCCTGAAACCTGAGGCCTGACCCACCCTCAGTGTCCCCAAATCACATGATCATACACCCTTGTCTGACTTAGTTCCCAAATAACCCCAGGAGGAGGGATATGCCATCGTTGTTCATACAGCAACCTCCAGGCCAGGGAGGCCAAGTATCCAGCTCAAGGCCTCAGAACTTAAAGCAATGGGACTTGTAGGGATCAGGTTGGGCTTGCTCCAGGCCCATCCTTATACAAGCAGCATCTTTCTCTCTGCCTGCCTCCTGGATGGCCTCTGGGCTGAAGCTGGTCTGGTTGGGCCAGCAGGGATTATACAATCCTCCCCACTTCCTGTCTCCTCCTCCCTTATCCCCAGACAGACACTTGCCTAAGGTGGCAGCTATGGGCAAAACCAGACTGGGTGATCAGGCAGGATCCCGGTCCTAGCACCTACCTTTAGAGGATCCTGCCATGTCCGTGCTACCACTGGGACATCCTTGGTAGACGGGGGCACCAAACTGTTCAGCAAGAGTTGGGGCAGGCTTTTCAAGCAAAGGGTAGGCAGCTCCCTGCCTAGTCCTGCTGCCCCAAGGTGGGTAGACGAGGCCCGCAGAAGGAAAGGGCTGTCGGACAGGCAGTGCCACATCCTTCTATGGTTCACTGGAGGGGCAGTTGTGACTGGTTTTTAGGTGTCACCAGGAAATGTCTTTCTTGGGGCAGCCACCCATACCCTAAGACCTGGGTGGTTCCCTAGGCTCACCGGCCCTCCTTCAAAGCCAAAGAGAAGGGCCCAGGCTCCCTCTCAGAGACGCAGTGGCAGCCTGGCCCTACCCCAGCCGCTTTTGCTGGGAGGGAGGGGCCTGGTGTCTCCCAGAGCACCTGTGGGTCCTGGCCAGGTGATGATGATGATGGAGTCACCTGCCTCTCTGTTGGGTGCTCAGCATGATCCGGGATTAATGGTTTCACGTGGGGCAAGTTCCCTGCAGAATTATACGTTGTCACAGCAAATCGGGCACTCTCACCTCCTCCCATGTCACGGATGAGGTAATGGAGGTCCCCAGGGGTTGAGTAGCTTCCCAAGGTCACACAGCTAGCCAGGGCAGAGCTGGGAGTGAGGACAGGGAGCAGTTGCCTACTCCAAGGACATGGGGACCCTGTATTGGTGCAGAAAGTGGGTGCCTGGGTGGCCCCCTCCCCCCACTTCCCAAAGCAGGGATCCTCATTGCTGAGTGCCTGTACCCAGCCTGTACCTGCCCCCCATATAAACTGGGCTCTCCCCCACCCCAGCTACCTCACACTCTTAACTGCCCTGGGAACTGTGGACTGCCAGGACCAGCCCTGGGACCTTGAACACCTCACGTAACCTCTCTGGGCCTCATTTCCACACCCCATCTCTGGGGATTTGGGGCCCATTAAATGAGTTAGTAAGTGTAAAATGCCTCAAGCAGAGCCTGCTCTGTGGTGGGTGCTGGGACAGCTCACCCCTGGGGCCTCCACCTCCTGGGGGTGCCTGACTGCTCCCGTGCTCTCTGCAGCCGGCCGCCCGGAGCGTGCGCGCACACACGCATACACACACACACACACACACACACATTTGTGCAAACTCACGAAGGCGAAGGGTGCGGTCAGGACCCTCCCTGCTTTGTCACGAGGGGGCGCTGCTTCCCTGCTCCTGCGGCGAGGGGAAGGCAGCCCACCGGGCCCTGCAGGGAGGCGGGCCACCAGGCCTGTGGGTGGTGACTTCACAGCTCCAGCCCGGTGTTTGTGGCCTAGGAGGCTGCCTGTCACCACACGGGGCCCCATGGGGCCCTGCTTTCACAGGTGAAATGTGGTACCTCCCAAATGCTGAGCATCAAGAAGATGTGGTTTGGAGCCTCACTTTCCAGTTGGGCCCCCAAGCTGCCCCCCTCACAAGGGTCATTGGGAGGATCCCAGGCATTAATGGGTGTGAGAAAAACGAAGCACACACATCTTGGGCCTCTAAGTCTCTGCTTCCTTATAGGTCATGAGGCACTGATGCCTCCTCACCAGCCAGCCTCTCTGGGACCCCATCTCACCTTTCGAAGCACTCCAGAGGTGATGGCAATGTTCTCTGCCTCCTCCACCGTCTTGATGGCCACTGTGTTGACACTGGTGACCACGGCTTCGCTCACAGCATTGGCCTGCTCCTTGGTCTTCTCAGCCACTGCAAGAGGACTCCGACTAGCCTTCGTCCTCCTGCCCCCTGCCCCCATGGGCCTGGCCTGCCCAAGTCAGGCTGAGCAGCCCTTTCTCAGAGCGCTCAAAACTCTGGCTCCACTAGAAGCCCCGGGCTGCCCCTTTCTCTGACTCTGGGGAGCCTTGATGCTGATGGGGAAATCAGGAGGCCCACCCTGGGTCTAGCCTCAGGGTCTGGAGGGCTTGGAGCTTTAGCACCAGGTTGCAGTCCCTGGAGGTCCCAGCCCCCATGTCCCCTGGTCCTGGGCTTCTCACCTGAGGTCACACTCTGCACGACATTCTCCTTGGTCTTAGCTCCTGTGGAGGAAATGGAGGCGTCAGCCTACTCCTCCTGGTGTTGCAGGGGTGGGGGTGGGGGTGGGGGGTGGTGAGAGCAAATACAGAACAGCTGGACAAGCCGTGGGGCCAGCAGGGCGCTAGGATGGTGTCCGGGGGCCAGCAGTCCCTTCAAAGGCTGCTTCCGGCTGTGTCTGAAGGAAGGGAATAGATGGGAAGTGGACAGGACAGGGCTGAGAGAGACCATAGGGTCCAGACCCGAGTGGGTGTGGCCGGGGCCTCGGAAGTAGCAACAGGACAGAGCTGAGTCACCGGCTTCTGAGGGGCTGAGGGGGGTGGGGCTGCACAGGATCCTGGGGCTCAGGCTCCTCTCCCCTGCCCCCCACTCTGAACAGGGTGGGGATCTAGGATATGACTGATGAGCACCTGCCCACTCATCCCACAGAGGCTGCAGGCTCAGCATGGCTTCTCATCTGAGTCCAGGGGTGCAAGTGCTGGGCTGGGGGACACTGGGTTGCATCTGTGCACGTGCACATGTGTGTATGTGCACAAACAGGTGTGTCCGAGGGCTGAGTGCCCTCTTGCTGTCTGCCCCAGACACGCTGGGGTCCTGAGGAGGTCAAAGCACATAATGGGGGGCTGAGGGGTTATGTACAGAAGGATGGGGGTGCTCCAGGACCTGGAGACCCTGAGTCAACAGCCAGGTCCTCACCCCACCGAAAATGCCTCCCTGGAGCTAGGGGATAAGGTTGGCCCCCGGAAACTGGGCATCCCTGCCTCCAGCCTCCCAGCTGCTGCACCCTGCCACGCCCTGCTTCGCCCACACTCACCCACATACATGACCCCCTCCTTGGTCTTCTCAGCCGCTTCTGTCACCCCCTGCTTGGTCTTCTCCACGGCGCCCACCACACCCTCCTTGGCGATGGAGAAGCCCTTCTTGAAGACGTCCATGGTGGTGGGCAGGGCAGGGAGGTCGATTCTTGCAGAGAACTGTGGCTGGGGCTGGCAAGAATGCTGCTGCAGCCACCGTCCCTGCCGCCTCTTATTGACGCCCATGAAATATTGATGATGCGGCGGCTGGCTGCTGGGAGCTCGGCCAGCGGGGCGGGGAGGGCCGGGGGAGGGGGCCTGCCCTCACCTTCCCCCAGGGCGGGGCAGCCGGGTCCAGCTCTCCCGGAGCCCGGTTGTTCAGCCCTCTCCTCCTGCCCCCTGCGCTCCAGGGAGGGAGGCTGCAGGGGACTGGACTCGTCCTTATCCATCACTGCCCCTTATTCATCCACTGCCCTGTCCACCCACAGCAGCTGCAGGGGCTGGGGCTCTCGGGCCTGGGGCATCTGGGACAGAAGGGGTCGGGCAGGGGAGGCGCCTTTGCTACCAGCGTCCCAGGTAGGGCAGGGGTCAGAGCCACGCAGGCCTGTCAGGCAGCCGTGGCCAACCTCCCAGACCAGCCTGGGCTGCCTGGTGACTCACCAGCCTCATGGATGCCCCCACCCCCGGGCTCCAGCAAGGGCAGCTGGGGAGCTGGGTCAGAGGAGCGCACAAGGGTTCCCCAGTGCCCCAGGGACCCTAGGACAGCTCCTCTCTCTCCCTGAGCCTCCCCCACCTGCTGGCGCCCACAGCCCCAGGGTGAAAGGTGCTGAGTCGGCATGCAGTGCCCCCCGCTTCCTGGCCACCAGCACGGATGGGCAGCAGGTTCCCTGAGACTGACCCGACCACTTCCTGCAGTCTCCCTTCCACGCTCGGGCTCTTCTAGCTCCCACGGGGTCGTGTGTGGTGGGGCTGCCTCCCTGCGTGTCCCACACCTCCAGTGTCCCTGACCTAAGTCCTTTTGAGGCACAGGAACCAGCCTGAGTTGGCTGCCTCTGTGGGGGAAGGTGGGGGGGGGGGGGGGGATTGGGGTGGGGGGGCCGGACGAGGCTCACCCGGTGGGCCGGCCCAGGCCACTTCCTCTCTTTGTTGTCCCTGTGCTCTCTTTTCCTTCTGAGACTTAACTTGAAGACGACGTCACCCTCACCAGCAGTCTGTGGAGTCACTTGCTGCGGCTGAGCCTGCCCCACTGCCAAGATGATCCTGACACTGCTGCTTGGCCTCGGGGGACCCCTGGGCTGGGGGCTGCTGGGGGCCTCGGCCCAGGCCCCAGGTAGTGGGTTCTCGGATCCACACAATCCAAGGCCACCTGGGGCCTGGGGGGCAGAGGCTGAGGACACCGGCAGGGAACCCAGCAGACGGTAAGGAGGACCTCCACCTTGGGGGAAGTCATGTACAGGATCTGAGTCCCGGCTCAGCCAGAACAAGGTTTCTCAGGACCTCAGTCACCCATCTGTGACATGACCTCATTGTCTACCTGCTGCGCCAGCAGTGAGGCTGAATGAGGTGCCCGGTGCCAGGCTCCTTTCAAAAGGCCACTGCCAGGCAGCCCGGACTGGGCACCGCGGGAAGTTTCCTGCCTGGGCCGTGGCAGGGACTGGACCTGGAGGTTGGGCAGGAGCCTTTCTTGCCACCAACCACTTAGTTGGGGTGATGAGGGGCAGTAGTTCCAGAAGTTTTCAGTTGGCTTGGCACTGGCTCCTGTTCTCTGAAGTAAGTAAACTCACATTCGAGCTTAGGTGAGGCTGGCCTGGCATAAGTCATAGAAGACAGATGCTCCGGGGACTGGATTTTTATCTGAGTGTCCCGGGACTGGTGTGGGTCCTCAGGCTGGCCCTGAGGGACAGGCAGTGAGCAGACAGGGTGCTCTGCTCTATTTCCAGAACAAGGAGGAGGCCATGGCATCTGTGGAGCCCTGCTTTAGTGCCCCTCTGGAAATGGGTAGGATGGTCTTGGGACCAAACCAGGACACCATTTTCCAGCTTTGTATTTGTCCAAGCCTGGGGCCCCCTGCTGATAAGATGCTAGGCCTGTGGGTTCCTCCTCCAGGTCCTCCACGGTCAAGAGCAGCAAGTCCTTTACTGGGTCTGTCTTGGGCTAGTCCTCTTGCCAAGTGTTAGCTCAGCGAATCCTCCCAACAGTTGCAGAGGCTCAGAGAGACTAAGCCGTTGCTGCAAGATCACACAGCTGAGGAGATCCAGAACCACAATCTAAGTCTGAGACAGAGCTCATGCTCTGGTCCCTGAGCCCTCAGAGGCAGCCCCAACCCCCAGATATGCCTCATATGCCTACGGAGCCCCCGACCACTCACACACACACACACACACACACACACACACACGCCAGGCTTGGGGAGTGTGTTTACATGGATCTGGAGGGTGAGAGAGGGCAACTTACACCCACCCAGAGTCTTCCATTTGGCTCTCTGAGATTCACCCTCATGATGGCTTGCAGAATGACTCTGTCTGGGACAGTTCTATACAGCTCTGACGCTTCAAGGTGAATGTGTTTGTTGGACACTTTCCCAAAAGCAGATTTGCCCACGGGGAGGAAAGAATAAGCAAGTGTAGGCCGAGTCTCAGTGAGGTCTGACAAGCGGGGCTGGGGGCCCCATCTCTGCCCCGCCACCAGGTCTCCTCGGCCCTGGGTGGTGCGGGTGATTCTCAGTGAGGGACACCACCCACCCAACTCTGATTTCAGGTCCAAGAACCAAGCCTCCCTTCCCCAAAGCCACTAGCTCCATGCCCCTTTCTTTGGGCTGCCTGTTTCCTTTTGCTAAAAGGAGGCTCAGGGTTCCAGATGGATCGGAAGAAGGTAGGAGACATTCCTCTTTTTCCACACCCCCTTGGCTATGGGGAGGGACTCTTGGGCTGCCCCATGGAGCTCACACATCAATTCCCTGGGGGGTCCCAGTGTGTGCAGAGCACATGCAGGTGTACATACAAGGGCGCTCCAGCCCAGGAATGCCCGGGTCCCAGGGGAACCTGGGGGTTTCCTTCAGGCCTGCTGGGCCTCCTTCCCACGACCCAGAGTTGTGGTCCCCACAGGCCCAGCTCAGGTTGTCAAGGCCTCCGGAGGGGCTGGTGTGAAAGGAAGGAAATTCTGCTCAGTTCCTCGGGCTGATTGCTTCCCGTGCTCTGTGAAGGGAGAGGCGGAAATGCCGTTCCAGCCTCCCTCCTGCAACAGGGGGAAGGGGAGGTGGGGCCCCGCAGTATCAGGGATAAGCCTCATGGACCCTCAGCCCCTGGCTGCCAGAACCAGGCCTCCCAGCCTGCATTTGCCCCACACACCTGTCTCTACCAGGCCCTGGGAGGCCCTGGACATGGGCCCAGGTGAGACTCTTTACAAGGAGAAGTTAGAACAATTTGGTGCCAGATGCCTGGTCCCAGGGTGGAGGTGGGACCTGGATGGTACTTCCCATGGCTCTGGGACCCCCAGCAACGTGTGTATTTGGACTCCGTGGGGAGGAGGCTCTTTTGATGCTCCCTAGTTTTGGTGGGAGTGGGATGGAACAGAAGTCTGGGCTGTGGGCTCCTCTGAGCCAGCACATGCTCCCCCTGCAGGACGGAGCCTGTGATGGGGACCAAGCTGAGCCCTGGGCAAGGTGCCTGTCTTCACATTGCGGTGACAGCTCTCTCCACGCTGTGAGGCTCAGAGGGATGGGGACACCACCCAGCTCCTAAGTGACAGGTCAGAGCATCCACTGGACTGCAAATCTCAGGTGCCTGCTGGCCTGTCTGCCCGAGATGGGTGGTAGTGGTAGGAGAGGGAGCTCCCGGCCATCTATCGGCCCTGCCCGCCAGCATCAGCTTCTTCTGGCCCACCTGCCAGCAACGTCTGTGATTTGTTGCAGCTGAGTGCTCCTGGCCCAGAGGAGTTAAGCACATGGCTGGAGGTCACTCAGGAGCCGGGAGGAACCCAGGCCACAGGTCACGGCCATGGCAGCACTTCCTGCACCTGCTCCCGCTCTCAGAAGCACAGGGCCCTGGGCAAACTCAGGGAACCCCCACTCTGGACACTGAGTGGGCCTCAGGCTCCTCTGCCAAAGTCCCTTTCCAGCTCAAAGACAAAGCCCTGCAAAATTCTCCCCTGCGGTGGTCATATTCAAGGCTGCATTCAAAGTCTCAGAAAGCAAGGATGCCAAGGACACGCTCTCCTTCCCCAGGAAGATGGAAGGGGCGGGCAGAGGTGGGCTTCACTGGCACTGAAGTGTCCCTGTGGACAGTGGCAGCAGCACATCCATCATTCAGGAGGCTCCAGCAAACAGCCCTTTCCCTGCTAGAAGCTAGCTCAGCCTCCCCCACAGTCCCTCCCTCAGTCCCAAGGGAGAGGCCAGAAGTGGGAATCTTCTCCACATTTCCAGGACTGGGGAAGGGGAAGGTCCTTGCTCAAGGTCACCCTGAATCCAGGAAGGGGAACAGGAGGGATGAGACCCAGGTTTCCGAGCTCCCATTAAAAGCTCCAGAGGAGTCAGCAGACACTTTCCTGACTGGGGCAAAGCCTCAGGTGGGGGCCATGTCAGAGGTCCAGGGCAGCCCAAACCCAGCTGGAGGATCCCCACACTCATTTCTAGGCTGGCCCAGGAGAGGAGGGTGCAAAGAGCGCGGGGTGAGAACAATGGGCGCTTCGGCGAGCCGGGCTGGGGGTTCAGGCTCAGAGGGCTAGCAGTGCAGCTGCCAGGAGCTGGAGGAAACCAAAGCAAAGGTCAGGAATGTTCCCAGGGCTTCTGGGCCAGCAGCCTGTACTATGCCAAGGGGACAGGGCTGCCAAAGGAGGGGGAGCATGGGCAGGGAGAACAGTTGGAGCCTGAGGTTTGGGCAGGTCAAGAGAGAAAGTTCCTGGGCAGGAAGGGTGGGCGGTACTGTTTCCGGTTCCAGGAGCTCGAGGTGGAAAGTCCCAGTCACTGCCTGGCAGTCTGGACCAGACCCAGCTCGCCTGGGCACAGGGCTTCTGGACCCTCCGCAGCAGTTCAGAGGGTGAGCAATGAACAGAACTTTGCTTTGAGTGGGTGTTTCTCAATGTCAGCACTACTGGCATTTGGAACTGGCTAATTCTTGGCTGTGGGGGTGCCGGGCCATGCTGTGTGCATTGCGAGGTGTTCCGCAGCTTCCTTGGTCTCTGCCCACTAGATGCCAAGTTCACGGGCGTCTTCCCCATGGAGGAAGTCCATTTGCCTCCCCACCCTGAGAACACCAGTTTAGAGAAACCCTTTTCTCCAGGCCCAA